AATGGACGCAGTCAAGGTTTGTTTCTGATTTGAAGTTTATTCTTTTTATATTCTTTTTATTAGTTTATTGTCTTTATCAGTATGGCGAAATGAAACAAAAAATTTCATCGGAATAAAATTGATCAAGAAAAAGAATTCTTAGAGGGGTGGTTGCTCGTTCACTGCCATTATGTTTTTTGGCCAGGTTTTGAAAACACTTCTGATAGTTAATAAAAGTGCCTTCCACAAGAATGGTTTTTTTCAAAATTGTTTCTATTTTCAAAATTTTGTTCCTATTATTTTCAAAATTTTTCCTATTCAAGTGGAACTTAAAATGATTATTCATTGATGAGCAGTCATGGTCTATGTGGAATGAGCTAGCGTGCCAGGTGCTAGTCTGAACATGCGAAATAATTTTTTGAGTGCGTATCCTTACAATTAGAGAATTCTACGTGTAGATTGTATCCAACCGAATGATATTTGATTGAGTTTTGTATTTGTAGAATCGCGAGAGAAGAACGGCGCCATAGCGGCATCGCGACTAGCGAGTAAATACACGTGTTCGGCCTCACCCCCCTCGTCATCTACTTCAAAGTCATCAACCACAATCAATAGCACATCACTGTCCTCGTCACGCAATACCTCTTCATCAGCAACAACCTTAAATCAAGTACCATCATTTTCTCGTCTGTGGAATTCCATTAAGAATATCACTCAGTCTGATAGTGTTAACACTCAAAATGATAGCAGTCAACTCAATTCACATTCACACAAACAATAGCATTGGTATGATTTCATCAAGAGTCATCCTACATGAAACTGTCATCGCCATCATCATTCGTATTTTATTTTAATGTTGCATTCTACGTCCATTTCCACCTTTACGTATTCATTTCAGTGGCGATTTTTCAATTGTTTGATGCACTTTCAACGATAATGATAATAATGCATCAGAATCAGTTCAATAGATTACCTCTCAATTGATATTTTCGATTCAGGTCTTTTCGAAACTGTGGTCGTCTTAATACTCATAACCGGAAGATTTGATAATACAAACGTCAGTATCACTTAATATCCATCCAAAACAAATTCCCACTTGTAAAAATAAACTTTCCGTTGTACGAACCAAAAACAATAAGAAGAATATTACTGTTGAGTGTCTCGATAAGCAATGCATCGCGCAATCATATTGAATTATTAAACCATTCAGAGCAAATTTCCATCTGATATCCATTCAAAGCAAAGCAAATAAACATAATATAGAAAAAAACATAAATTCAAAACAGGGAATTACTTTCGTGAAATGTGTTGTTTTCTTTCATTTGTATATTGTTCCGTTCCATTTCTAGATGCTCTTCTATTTGTGGTGTGTATCCATTGATGAATACGTGCTTCTCATCAATTATATCATTACTCTGATGTTTTATGAATTGTCCTAAACTCAGTTTGTTAGCTTTATAATGTCAGATTTGAGGCCTTTTCAATGATTTGATTGTGTTTCAGTCATTCATCATTGTCTTTATTAGTATCATCATTATGATTACTGTCATTGTCTTCGGTATTACTTCATTATTAGTATCCAATTCAATGTTATTCCGTAAAATTATTGGTTGCATCCGTTTGTGAATTTTATCAGTAGTTTTATGGTTAGACATGGCTTTTTNTTTTTCTTTCCCGATATTCAAAAATTCAAAGGCGTGCCTACAATCGTCAAATTGATTCACATTGTTTTTGCACTTTAAAAAAGTGATTTAAAACGCTAAGTCGGAATTATATTCGCCTGTTTATACCGCTTAATATTTTTTGATGAGACAGCTTTGAAGTATTGGAATAGGAATGTCATTGAAATATTGATCTTAATTTTCAGTTATGCCTTAATATAGAGTGCACTTATGCTGTGTTCTGTTGTTTGTGTTAATATTGTGTTCGTTTCGGTTGTTCAGAGCGATATTATTGCTCGATATTGTGAATTTAAATTTGTCAACTGAATCGCAATTTCACATTTCAACTCCGTCGATCCGTATAGAGTGAGTGGGTGGGTAGGCATTGTCCGTTGTGGGTCGTGATCGTGAAAATTTCGCTGCTTGCAAAATACTGCTGCGAATTTGAATGAAAGTGTTTGGTTGGGGGAATTGGAATCATTGAGGGTTCAAATTTCTATGTGAGAATGTGATTTTCGTAAGGTAAAGTAGTAAGTCCGTTTGTGATATTTGAGTTCGATTTCAATGCTTAGTTCATAGTGGTGCCGTATCCGCGGAGGAGAAGGGGAAGCAAAATAATGATCGATCATTGTAATTGATGTGTTCCATAGATCAAAATGAAATTATACCGGACGGCATTTCATCGTTGATGAAAACTTCTTAGAGATGTAATTTGACGTAGTTTGGATGAAGTGATATTCGATGCAGAGGATTTATGAGAAGCAAGTAAAATTGGGAACGATTTTGAGGTGATTGCAGAGGGGAGGTGTTCGCAGCTATGTTTTAGAATTATATCTGATCGTGAATAAAATTGCAAGTGTTTGATCGATCAGGCTCTTACGATTAGTGTTCGAAATGCCGTTTTATTTGTTGCATAGGCGAGGCTTCGTCCATTTGCCCCACTCCTTGTTTCACGGTGAGTTGATGATTGCGGAGCAGAGGTAGTCAAATGTGAATTTCGATAATTGTGAATGAACCAACCTATATGCATTTAATTGTGTGTCTTCCTTCCATTGCGATAAGCATAATCGTTAATGAATTTATCAAATTGAAAACGATTCAATTCAGTAACTGATTAATTGGAACTTGTGTGGTAATCTGATCATACGATGATATTCAGTGATCAGCATCCACTTTGTTGAACGAAGTAATTGTTGATCACTTTTTATAACAAATAGCACATTGAACGTAATCGTTCACCATGAAGAATGCACAGTTTCAGTTACGCTTCTTTTATGAGAATGCGATATCGAATGGAATTTGTTCATCATCCTTCCTAGTTTATCTCATTTTGTATGGAATGTTCAATTGAATTTTAAACTGTAATAAAATATTTTTTTAAAAAAGAATGGCAATGCTTGAATGTGAGCACAGTGCAGCAGTATGAAATAGATATGCAAACGACTAATACCGATTATTTGGTGCCAAAGACGTGTGTATGTAATTGAGGTTATTAGTCCACTCGTGGTTCATGGATACGGCACAATTGAGTGTTTTCTATGACAGTAACGTTGATGAGGACAAATTCATCGGGCAATTTTTGCTGTTATTGAGGAGCATTGAATCAGGCTGGATGTTGAGCCTAGCTTTCAAACGCAGTTTGAGAATGCCTTGGTGATCGCAGCACAGGATTATTTCAGCGAAAGTAATGTGTGCCCAACCGCTGATCACGCCAAGTGGCATAACTGTCGTAACTTGACAATTCCAGTCAAAGCTCATTAAGTTTTTTCAAGCTACTGAATCCATGCTACTGAATAATATACATCTCCCTCACTTATTATTTATCTGAAGTGCGAGAGAATTTCAATTATTCCAATATATACCAATTGTAATGACCATTACCGCTGATCATTCCAAACAATATAACTTTCGTAACAACGTTGATGGTCAGTGTTCAGCTGGTTGTCGTGAAGCTCTTATAACTTTCTCTTGTAACCGATAATGAGTACCTCACGAAAACCTGATAAACATTGACCAGAAATTTTTTCGTATGTACTCACATTGACCAAAAACGTAATGTGAGTTCCGTCAGTGGCGAACCGTCACTCTGTTCGTACTTGGCGAACTGTNCATTCATAATGGCGCTGCTTATTTGACAATTTTCTCTTATTGACAACAACTTTTTTTTTATTTTATCTTTTGTGGGCAATTTTCAAGGAAAATTTTTTCTCAAGTAGTTTAGCGCAAGCTCTTATTGCAGACATTTTCCCGATTAGGTGAGAAAAGTTTATAGCGAGTTGGATAAGTTGAAGCGATTCGTTAACAGAATATAATTATACGCTTGTTAATATTCATTGTGGCTGAATTTGAATGCTTGTAATGCAATTTCGTTTTTGCTTGCGTTGAATAAGATTCATGTAATTTTGTCTATTGCAGTATGGTAGAATTTGAAGTAAAGCAATGTGGCACGGTGTTTGGAGAACGGCTGGTGCGCAGGTCTCATGACGGCATCGCAGGCCACTTTCTTACCGGTGCAAGTTAGTTGTTCATCTTTTATATTGATTGTCGAAATTTAAATTTTACCCTCTTTTTGACGACATCGACATTACGCTAACGTTGCTATGTTCAGTTGTTATCGTTTGTTCCAATGGCCAATGCAACGAACTGTTGAGATGGCGGCCTCATGTTTTTATTATTCCTCAGCGTGATATTTGTTACCTTTACAATTTCTTGTCTCCTCTTAATTCAAATTAGAGCAGATTGGTTTTTTAAGCATTTCTTTCTACTATTAAATC